ACAAAAACAAAAGCTCAGCAGGTCTGGCAGCATCTGTGAAGGAAAAAACAGAGTTAACATTTCGGGTCCGGTGACCCTTCCTCAGAACTGTTAACGTTAACTCTGTTTTTTCCTTCACAGATGCTGCCAGACCTGCTGAGCTTTTGTTTTTGTTCCTGATTTACAGCATCCGCAGTTCTTTCGGTTTTTAATTAAAAGTTTGTAATGTTTGTATAATTAACAGATTAAGTTTGTGGGTTACCTCAAATGAGAAATTACAGAATGTTCTAATTGTGAAAAAAATCAGTTGCACCACACAAGTGTAGGCCATTAGTTTCACATTATAGGATGTGACTATGTGGCAATCACCCAATTTCACATTTTTCAAAAAACTCAGAAATCAAATCCTGCTCCCCAAGTAAAGACAAGATTATAAAATGCAAAGCATCCATTATCTTTAGGTTTGCAAGAGCAAATAATTTTCAGTTAAATAATTTTCTTCCTCCACCAAAATACACAGTTCCTGTAGAATATTTCAACAATTGAGATTAAGAACCCACTACAGTGCAGTGCTAAGCTGTCAATTATCTGCATTTCCTGTACCCTCAGCAGGAACTGCTTGGAAGCTCAAGAGATCTTGAGGTAAGAATGAACAGGCTGGGGATCTTTTTCTCTGTAAATATGATGATAGGTGAGCGAATGGAGATATGCAGAATTATAAAGGGGTTTAATATAACAAATGCAGAGAAGTTATTCTCATGAGTAACAGAATGCAAAAACCGAGGTCACAAATAATATAGTCATTACAAAATTCAATAGGAAATTGAGGAAAAACCTCAATCTAAAAGAAGTAGAGAAGGTGAAATTTACTATTACCTGGAATAGTTGAAGCAAATAGCACAGATGAATTAAAGACAAAAAGTTAAATAAGTATATGACAGAGAAGGGAGTATAATGGCATGGTGATAGGGTGAGATGAAATAGGGTGGGGTAAAAGCTTGTACAAAGATAAATTATTCAAGCCAGATGGTTTGTTTCTGCAAATTTCTATGCAAAACCATTCCACTTATCGGAGCAGTGATTTCAACCGCATTGCTGATGCGGCTGGATAATCCAGCAAAGCAGACAGCGAACTGAATACTGCGGCAAGACTCCTGAGGAAATGCTAGATGATATCAAGCTGCATGGTACTTTCAGCAATACAGCATCATATGGATACACCTGGTCAAGGCTGAATGGGTCTTGTCCATTCCACGATGGAATTGTTTGTGCCCTGTATGTTATAGTCAGATCAACATATGTCAAGTGAATGGTCGTCTGTGCTTAATGCCTGTTACTTGCCATCCATTACCTATAGAAAGTACAGATGGGTGGCTGTGGAACATGGGAGATAACATGAGTTTGCTGACTCCAGAAAACATTCAAGAACTGAAAAGGGATTACAAAGGTCGGAGAACCATGAAAACCCTCTGAGTCTCTAACACTCTGGTGGGGCAATGAAGGCAAACATCAAGAGGTTCTTCACCATCAAAAAGTGCTCGCTCCAACTTGAGCATAAAAACATGTCAAGTCCAAAGGGCCAATTATATCAATATCCCCTCAACAAAGTGAGGAAAGGTGTTGTGATAGTGCTATCAAGCACCTCCAGAAAGGAATTAACTGCTCAGTGCCACCCTATTTGGGTTCCACCAGGTCCACTCAACCAATGATCTCATTACAACCTTAGACAAATGCAAATATAAGAGCTGAAGTCCAGGCATGAGAGGAGAGCGACTGTCCTGGACATCAAGGCAATATTTGACAGAGTATGGCATCAAGGATCCCTATCAAAACTGGAGTAAATGGGAATCAAATGGAAAATGCTCCACTGGTTGAAATCATACTTAGCACAATGGAAGATGTTTGCGGGTGTAGGACGTCAATCATTTCAGTTTCAGGACATCACTGCAAGAGTTCCTCAGGGTGCAACCATCTTCAGCTGCTCAATGACCTTCTTTCTATCATCAGGTCAGAAATGGGGATGTTTGCTGATGATCGCACAATGTTCAGCACCATTCAGGACTCCTCAGATACTGAAGCAGTCCATGTTTAGGCTTGAGCTGATAAGTGGCAAATAACATGCTCAACACACAGCTATCAGCAATGAGAGAGAATCAAACCATCACCCCTTGACATTCAATGGCATTACCATATTAAATTCCCCCTGCCAACATACTGGGGCTTACCATTGACCAGAAACTAAACTGAACCAGTTTAAATGAGCAGGTCGGAGGTTAACACTTGTGGCAAATAACTCACCCCCTGTCTCCTCAATAGACAGTACATCATCAAAAGGTGGAAGTTAGGAATGTGATGTATCCTACTTGCCTGGATGAGTGCAGCTCCAACACCACTCAAGAAGCTTGCCAACATCTAGGGCAAAGCACTACCTGCAAGTTTACACATAAAGCGCTCCCATGCTACACAATGGGACTTGGACCAATATCACTTACTTCGATGTTGCTGGATCAAAATTGTTGAACTCCCTTCCTACACACCAAGGACTGTAGCAGCTCAGGGCACCTCAGCAACAGCTTCCCCAGGGGAAAAGGACACACACACACACACACACACACACACCCCGGCTCCAGAAAATTGTGCAGCATCTGGTACCAACTGCAGTCGATGAGGGCCAAATCAAAGAAGATCTCCAAGAAATGAAGAGCCAACAATACCCGCTCTGATCTTGGAGGCCTCCAAAGCAAAATTTCTGGTTCAGACTCTGCTCCATGTGGCAGGATGAAACATGCTCACATTTCTTCTTTTTGAAGGTTCAGAGGACAGCTTGGCGATCAGCAACTTAAAAGGAAGAAATTGGCTTCATAAAGTCAATATTATCCGACATTTTGAGGATCAGCAAATCTTTCTGTTGTGGACTATAATGGTGCGAAGCCAGCAGACAATATTGGCTCCCAGTTGTTTTTGTCCTCTATCATAGGAGTCTTAGACGATAATGCACGAGAGATTTTGGTCAAACTGCTGGAGATGTACGAGTGTATGCTGCTGGCTAGTAATATGACAGAGCCCAGGATAAAGGTATTATCACCTACATTTACAAACAGAAGAAAAGGAGAGGAAATTAGAAATTGGAGGGGAAAATATCACTGCTAAATGTGGGCTACAAAATTCAAGGTCACTGCCAACCAGATCAAATCAGCTCTGGAGTTGGTTATCTGCCCCAACTAACCTGTGCTGTACATGGCAAAGCGATTTCAAAGCCTTACGCTAACAGGGATACGATCATCCCTGTCTGAGACAGGGTGGTGGATGCCAGCTTCATCAGCCTGGACCAGGAAAAATGCCTTTGATAGAATATCACATATCTACATGATGGATTTGCTCTCAAACAAATAAAAGGGATTTGGGAAGGGAATCTGCATTTGGATCTACAGTTCTACAAAAAGACCAATAATTTGGCTTCAGTCAGTGGTGGTAATCAGAAAGGTTTCAGACAAAATCTGGAGTTAAGCAGCCCCACCCTCTCTCCCCTGTCCCATTTGTGTTATATAGACTGCTTTGCTGACTTCAACAAGGAGGATGTGGGCCTAAAAGGGGCGACAACCTCAGATATTGGTGGCACTCCAG